ACCTTGATCCAGCACTAGACCAGGCATCCTGGTGGATACAAACATATATTCCACACTTATTTTTATTTACTCAGCCCCTACTACATGCCAGCTCATGCTGTAGGCTCTAGAGATAAAGCAGTGAACACGCTAGAGACAAAACCCTCTGCCTTCGTGGGGCTTGCAATTGAATGGAGAGATGAGAGCCACACAGACGATTATAACATTAGACAAAAACTGCCTTAGAAAAACAAAAATACTTGTTAAGCTTAGGCCAAAAGAGGAAGGTGTATGCTCAGGGTGGGGATGGGGAGCTAGAGGAAACTTTTTGGATGAGAGGGCTTTTGAGTCCAGGTTAAATAAATTATGCCCATCTGTCATATGGAGACACTAGGAGGCTCTACTCTATAGGGCTGTTGTGAAGATGAAATGAGGTCATGAGGTCATGCCTGTGAAGAACTTAGTGGAGTACCTGGTTCATAGGAAGTCCTAAGTCCTACTACCTTCTCCACTCCTTCTAATACATATTATCTGTTGTCTTAGTCAGCTTGGGCTGCTATAACAAAAGCATCTTAAACTGAGTGACTTAAACAACAGAAATTTATTTCTCACAGTTCTGGAGGCTGGGAAGTCCAAGGTCAAGGTACCAGCCAATTCAGTTCCCGATGATAGCCCTTATCCTGGTTATGTCCTCACATGGCAGGGGGGTGGGAGTGGGGGTTGCGGGGGGAGGTCACAGGCACCGACCACCTGTAATCTCCCCATGCCCACTGCTGGAATGTGAAAACTCGGAGAAGAAAACACGCNAATAAACGATGAATGACCCCTACTGGAAAATACTATACAGCAGGTAAAAATGTAGGGCTTTTTAGCACACAAATTGGGGGGCGGGGGGGAGAGAGACAGTTGCCTGCTCTCTTCTGCCTCTTCTTCTGAGAGCACAAAGCCCATCATGAGGGCTCCACAATCATGACCTAATCACCTCCCAAAGGCCTCGTCTCCAAATACCATCACACTGGAATTAGGGTTTCAACATACTCGTATGAATTTGAGGAGGATAAGACTATTGAGTTCATAACATCTATTTTGTAATAAACAACAAAATCTTTGAAGACTTCTCACTGTCCATGGGATCACGTCCAAAGCTCTTAAGATGCCCTGCAAGGCTGTGCCAGATCTGCCCTGGGCTTCCTTCTTAGCCTCCCCCTTCTTCACATTCTCCCTGCTCCCTCTGTCCCTACGAGGCTGCCTTCTCCTTCCTGCTTCAAATCTCCCATGTGTTTCCTCTGCCACAAATCTTTGTTCCACGCTCTTCAGCCCCCTCCCAGCCTTGATCAACCCTTTTTTATCCTTTGCGTCCAGGGTATTTCTCTGGGAACTCTGACATTAAGTGTGGGGGTCCCCTGCTGTCCTTTCATAGCTCCTTGTGCTTTTTATTCCCCCAGGACTCATCACAAGTATTTGTGTGACAGTCATCGTTTCCACTGAACTTTAAGGCCCATGAGGGCCAGAACTGTGTCTGGCTCATTCACTGCCGTACTGCTAGCTTCTAGCAGTGTCTGAGACAAAGTAAGCACTCGATAATGGTGGCATGAACATTTCACAACTGAAATGTAAGTTTCGATACTCAGAATTGGGACAGAAGCTCAAGGCTTCGCCTGACAGAAACCAGCAGTGTGGTCAGAGGTGATTCAGACTTGAGGGGAAAGAATTTCTGCTGCTATAACCAGCTGAGACATGGTTTTTCTCAGGACCAGGGTCATCACACGCAGGCTGACTTGAGAGGAGATGGAGCGCTCAGGCAGTGTACTTAACCTTCTCCCCAGTGGGGAACTGACTCGCCCAATGTCTCTAGGCATGGGAGTGAGACCCTATCCTGGCTCTTTCAGCCCTGCAACTGTTGCCTCCAACCTCAGGAAGAGAAAGTTGAGACATGAAGCTGTAGGACTCTAGGTGGTGACAAACTATGAAGAGAATCTGAAGGTTCAGGCTTGTGAGACCTCAAGCAGGTCATTCCCCCTCTCTGGTCTTTATTTTCACCACCTGTAATAAGAGTATCTTGGGTCAAGTACCTTGGTAAGCAGACTCTGAGATGGAAGTTTGCATACAGGAGGTTTATGGGAGATCAATATCATAGGACAGTGAGTGCAGGACTGGGCAGAAGAAATTGGGCTGCAATGCTGGCCTCGGCGGATCCGGAGGGGAGCACTAGAGCTGGGAAAATCCTTTAGCGTTGTTTCAATTGGAGGCAAAGGGGCCAGGTCTTTGTACACTCCTGTCCCATCAACCAGTCATTGGAGGCAGGCTGCCTGGAGTGGGCACAAGCATGAGCTACGTAGCTGCCTTCCACCCAGGAAGGGACTCAGCTGAGATCTTTCCCAGTTGAGTAGGGGTGTGGGAAGGCATGAGAGCCACAGTCTGGGTTGCACACCACAGTATTCATGACGGAGGAATGTAGACAAGCGGTGTTCTAACTGATCTATGGAGCCCTCGGGCTCTGAGAAGGTGCTTCAGTGAGTGGGAAACTGCTCCTTTGTGTTAAAAGTTTCTGCAAAAGTCCAACATATTTCCTTGGAAGAAACAGCTCTGCTGCTGGGTTGTAAACACTCTTACAGCACCTCGTATTTCTCCTTTGAGGTGCCGATTACAATTACAACTTAAATAGTTAGTTGTGTAATGACCTAATGTCTGTCTCCTCCACTAACCAATAAATGCTAAGAGGGTGGGAACCATGCCTGTTTTGTTCACTGCTCTGTGTCCAAGGCATTTACATATTAGGTGCACAACATCTGTTGAGTGAAAGCATGGCCTTGGCATCAGAACCAGGAAAGCTGTAAAAGATACAAATTTCTGAGCTCTACCCCCAACCACCGGTCCTCTAGGAGATTCTAAGGCACAGAAAGTTTGTGAGCCACATCTTCATTCCACCTGTCCTAGGGCTCTGGTGAATGTCTGAAACTTGCTGGAGGAGACTCACCCAGCTAGTTTCTACCCACTCTCAGAAGTCCTCAATCCAAGCATGGCTTCAAAAGCCAAACAAAGAATCTAGCCACCAGCAACCTTCTGCAAACTCCAGCCTGGGTAGGTGTGCCCGGGTCCCGGACTGCAAGCTACAGAAGTCTAAAACAGATTCATTAGATCCAACCTGGAGCCGAGAGTTTTCAATGCCACGTGCAAATTGACTTTAACATGATAAAAAAAAAAAAAAGCAGACTGAGGGCCTAGGGAGTTTGGGGACAAAAGCAACGCTCAGAAATCTGACTCACAATGGTTTAGTTTCTTTTTTTGGTAGATTTTTATTGGGGAATTGGGGGAGGGGAACAGACAAGTTGCTGTCCTTTTGTTCTTCAGTTTAGTTGTAGAGGACGTCGCTTGGCTGGCCCATGTTGGTATTATCATTGCGCTCTTCCCGGGTGAGGCAGCCGCTCGCCAGCCATTGGATGGCCGCTCAAGGCAGCTCACAAAAGCTCACGCCAGATGCCGGCCATCACCGGCGACTCATGGCAGGCAGCCCAGCTCCAGATTGAGCTGTTGTTCACCATCTTAGCTGTAGAGGGCGCAGCGTCACTGGCCCTCATGTGGGATCCAAACCGGAGCCCTGCTGCTCAGAGCTGGCGTCCCAAGCCAACTCCTAACCAATGCGCCACTCGGCTGGCCCCAAATACTGTTTCTTAATGTTGGGCAGATAGCTGACTACTGAATGGCTCACTAGTGCTGGATGCTAGGTACCCAAACTGTGCTAAGTGATTTTCATGTATGAATCCACACAACCCCCTTCTGACCCCAGGTATTAATTCCATTGCATAGAGAAGGAAGTTGAGAAGGGAGAATTAAAGTAACTTGCTTATGCCAAACATTAAATGTCAAAGCTGGAATTTGAACCCAGGCCTGTCTGTTAAGTTGGTGTTCCCTCGATTCACTTGAGGTTCCATTTCTACATCTATAAAATGGAACCACTCCTTTCTCACAGGGTTGTTGTGAAGGTTTTTAAATTTGAAAAATCTGTCAAGTCACTCAATAATGCTACCTGGAAAAGAAATGAAAACATTTTGTCAGTTTCTATGGGAGAGGAAACTCGAGGCATTGTGATAAGTGACTGAATCAGGAGCAGAATCCAATTTTTGTACTCTAGGTCTGATTTCTCTCACACCCTCTCAAATGACTCTAGAAGAAAGAACAAGTATACTGGAAACACTGCACAAATGAAGAGGGTAGAGGTTAAAGGGGATGTGGAGTTAATCAGAGGAGGCTTCCTGGAGGAGGCTGTTTTCATTTTATGACAGCAGTGTTTTAGAGCAAGTAGTGAATCAGGAAATGGCTTAGCTTAGTCATGATGTGGTTTTCCTATGCTTACGAGAGTTGTTGGTGCTCAGAGTTCAGAAGCTTGACCAAGATCACACAGCTACTAAATGAGCACTGGTGCATGGGGGGGGTCACATCTAACTCTTTAGGACTGGTTTTGTCTCCTTGATACTAGAAAGGGAAGGATGAGAAGCAGGTAATCATAATGTGGTGGGGCAGGGGATGAGGGGGGTCCCCCCAGAGATTCTCAAATAGACTCTCTGCCAAAGTGGGAGCCCAGTAGTGGGAACAGCAAGGTGAAATGCCCAGGCTTCAGGGTCAAGCAGACCCTGGTGGGAATCCTGGCTCCACCACTGATTAGCTATGTGGCCTCAGCAGTCATTTTATCTGAGTCTCAATTCTCTTGCAGAGTTGCTGCAGATTCAGAGAAATGGACTCCAACCAAGTACCCAGTCCAGAGCCAGGCTTAGTGAGAAAAATAACATGGCTGTTATTTTTCAGTAGTGCCTGGCCTGTCACAAATGGGCAAAAGGGCTGGATACCAAGGGATAAAAGTAGTTTCAATGCCAACCACTCCCAATCCTGAAGGCACTGGGCATAAGTGCCCAGCAGGGTTGGAGTTAGCAGGTCAGCTCCATGATGCAATCACAGCTTCCTGCTTACGCTAAGAGGTGAACCATGACCCTTAGGAAATGGAAAAACAGCCCATTAACAAGAAGTACAAAACAAAACCTCGGTGAACTTTTATTTCTCATCATACGGAACCAGTAGCAAAGCCAAAGACTTCTGCACTTAAACACTGAATACCCCTTCCCACCCATGGGACATTTACAGAGTCATTACGTCCCCTCCAGAATCCGAACCCCAAGGTTGGAGCCTCTTTCCTCCTGCTCAGTTTCGTTGCAGGGAGGGCTCTGAGGCCTGAGGGGGTGAGGCCTGAGGGGGTGCCAGTGGCTTTCCCATGCCTGCATGGGTATGAAATGTGGCACACTGACCAGGCTCCTCTCCTGCCCCACCCCAGAGGGTCAGAAGGAAGCAGCATCTTGGCTCTTGCCTTTCTTGTCACCTCCAAACTGGTCAGAGAGGAGGCACATACTGCCGGAAGAAGGGGAAGGAAAGTCATAATTCACAGCTTGTTTGCTATAGAAAGTGCCTGGTATCAGTCCTTGGCTGCTTCTGCCTCTAAACAATCCACCTAAAATTGAGAAGAGGGGACAGAAACTGGATGGTCCTTGGAAGGTAGCCAGGAGAGACTGACTGCAAGAGTGGGGAGCAGGGGGAATCCCCAGAGGTCTTCAAGATCCCGCAAGATTTGCAGTTCACTGCTGGCAGGTTGGCCTGAGAAACCCAGGGTGAAGACTCAGACCTCCTGGAAACTTAGCCCCACCCCTCAGTCTGCAAATGCGGAAATAGAGGTCAAGGATTTTGGCAAAGGAACCATGGTCACCTGGCCAGTGGCACGGCCCAAACAAGAACCCTGGGGTCTCCTGCCTTTCCCACTGGGCCACATGCCGCCTAGAAAGGCTCAACATTTTGGCAAATATCTGCAGTAGCCATGGGAGACAGCAGAGTGGGGTGCTGGGCAGGTGCAGCTCTGGAGAGAACAGACTGCCCGGCCCTCCTCCTCGAAGGCATTGACTGTAGCTCTAGAGGTGAGGTCCTGAAGAGGTTTGAACTTCACCCATAAAGGACCAAAATACAGAGAATTTGTCATCTAATACTCCCTACTCTTCAGAAGGCAAAGTGTCCAACAGAGACCCTCGTTCTCTAGGGATAATCTACTTTTTTGATGTGCTTGGTCTCTCTCCTGGGGCCTCATACCACCAGGAATAGGACAAATGGGTAAGATGGCAAAGGAGGTGAAAGGAAGTGAAGTAGGATTGAGACAATTAGAAAACAAGGGACCTTCAGGCTGCCTGACAGAACAAGTTTTGGGGGAGCTGGATGCACAGACCAGCTGTGACCCTGACTTTCACATTGATGGGTGAATGGCAGGTGAGAGGTAATTAAATCAGAATGAGGAAGGAGAAAAGGAAAGCTGCTAGGAGTGTCAGTCCCTGGAGGTGTGTGCCCCTCTCCCTCGGGGGCCAGCCATGGACATTCCCAGTCCAGGAAGGCCACAGTATTTGTGGTGCCTGGGGCCCAGCCTGCTGGCACACAAGTCCAAGCTCAGCCCATTTTCCTTCTGGTGTCCTCAGGGGCAGGAAGAAGGGCATGGCTCTTGGGGATCTGCTAGTCTTCTTCTAGCTCCCAGGCAAAGCTGAGATCCTAGAGATCCTGTCCATTCCAGTAAGAAAAAGGTGGGTGTGGCTCGGGGGGCTGCACATCACACAAAAGCCCACCCCCAGAGTGTGGTGGGTGGGTGTGAGACAGAAAGGGATCAGGTCTGCCTCCAGACAGAAAAGTCCTTGCAGGGAGGAGGATGCCTCCAGGGTCAGCTGCTCCAGGTCCAGGTCCTATGCAGGAGTCAGGTCATATAGCGGGTGATGGCACGGAGGGCGTAGAGCAGGGCAGCTTGCATGCGGGCCTCCAGGAGCAGCAAGTTCACGTGGACCTGGGGCACAGACAAGGGCTTGTTGGCACCTGATGTCAGTCCACGCCATCCCCATCCCTCCCAGACTGCCACCATCCCTGATCACTCACCTCACCCTTCCTCTTCCTATATACAGATGCCCTGACCTTTCCTGAGCGGTTGGGTGTAATGAGTGCTGAAGAATTTCAAGCACATTCATTTATCCCCCAAAGCTAAAAACAAGAGCTACCACTGGGCACCTGTGGGGGATGGGAGGTTTACATTCATGCTCTCACTTCATCCTCCCAGCGACCTTGAAATGCAGGCAGTATTTACTCCCAATATAAAGATAAAAAGCTCAGGGAGGCAAAGTGACTTGCCCGAGGTCACACTGCTACCGAGGTATACTGCTATGATTTGAACCCAGGTCTTCCTGGCTGCCACTGAGGACCCTATGAAGCACATTCCCATTTTACAAGTGAGAAAAGGGAGTCTGGAATCACACAGTGGAGTAGGACTTGAACCCAGGACAATATGCCCAGGTGTCCCACCTGGCAGCACAGACGCAGTCCAGGGTACCTCATCCTTGGGTCCTGACCCCTCGGCCCCTCTCACTGGCCAGGCTTGTCTAGTTTCACCCTGTCCCTACCCCACAGGCCATACCTTTTCTGAGTGGCGGAAGTGCCTCCAAAAGAGGCTGTACATTCTCCGGGTGGTCTTCTCTGGGTAGCAGGCCACCGTCTTGATATAGACTTTGAGGTTCCGCTCCAGGAGCTGGTTTACCTCTCCATAGTCATAGTCATCATATCTGGATGGAAAGGCCCCAACAGCATTACTCACCCTCAGCTCCCAGCAGTAGCTCCTCTCCCCTAGCCCCACCCTACAGGAGGAGGAACAGAGTGGCAAGAAAAGGCAAAAGGTAGGAAGCAACTAGGAGCTTGGTTCTTCTTAGAAAAATAGCTGATGTCATGTATCACAGGCCACCAGGGACCACTCCAAGGAATGCAAAGAATGAGCATGTTTTACTGAGCACCAACTATGTACCATGTGAACACGTACTCACAGAATCCGCAGAACTACTAGCACACTACTGTATACAAAGCCATTGTATACAATATACTGTCATATACATCAGCCTCATCTTAAAGATGAAACTGAGGTTCAGAGAAGCGAAGCCACTTGCCCTTGGTCACACAGCTGGGAAGGGGATTCAAACCCAGCTCTGCCGGGCTCCAAGGTCACATTTACTACTTTATAGCAAAGGCCATTAGAAGATGGAGAAGCAGGTCAGTGCAAATATTTACCCTGGAGAAGGAAGAGGGAAAGGACAAAAAGGAACTGACACTCATTTTACAGATGGGCAGACTACGGCAATTAGCTTGTTCAAAGTCAAACATCAAGTTGGTGACCAGCATAGAAGGTACTTGGTGACTCCCTAGTTCAGAGAGCCAGTGAGTGATCACAGTTCAGCGTGGATGAGGAAGGCTGGTTGAAAACTGGAGCACAGACTTGGAAGACAAAGGTGTAAGATGAAGGATCATGCAGTGCGTAGAGGAGTCTGGACCTGAGGAACTAGGCTGTGTCTACGATGCCCGTCCATCCTCACTCAGTCTCCCCTGGGTTAGAAACCTGTCAATGACCAGCAAGATGGTGGTCCACTAAGTACAGCTCAATCCATCCAGTGAAATATGACTTACAGCTAGTAATACACTGAAATACACATTTGTACCTTTTTAAAAATAAGGGTTTTGGTGTTTTTTTTTGATGCTTGGAATAAACTGTTAAATGAGAAAAGCAAGAAAAAAAATCACGTGTCCACTAAAATATGTTCACATTTGATTACATGAGTAAAATATGTGAAATGAGTAGGCAAGAAAATCTTTTTGGTTAAATTATATAAGTTCTGGTTATTTGTGCAAGGAAAAAAACAGGAACATACTTGACAATAAGAACAGCATGGTGGGATCATGGATAATTTTGATTTTCTTCTCTTTATCTGTTTTCTAAATTTACTAAAAATCAAGCCGTTACTCTTTATAGACATCAAACATACAGTATATCAACTATACAAAAGCAACTAGATAAGAAAAAAAAAAAAAAAAGCAATGGAGAAATATGCCACAGGATGTGGTTTGGTTGTAGAAGCGTAGGATTTGGGGAAATTTTTTTTTTCTTAATTCTTTGAATTTCCCCCAATGTTATCACAGTGAGATATTTTTTTAAGTAAAAAAATAATTGTTCTGTATATATCCTTGAGAAGTAATTTCACAATGAGGGTTTATGAGGACTTAGGTATACGACTAGTCAGTACACACTGTTTGTAGTAGTGAAAAACTGCAAACTGCCTAAATATCCAACAAGAGGGAAGTGGTTAAATAATTATGCTGCATCCAAAACAGAACACAATGCAGTGGATTCAGCAGTTAAAAAGCATAAAAGAGGGCCGGCTGAGTGGCGCGATGGTTGGGAGCTGGCTTGGGATGCCAGAGGGCCCCGGTTCGGATCCCACATGTAAGGGCCAGTGACACTGCCCTCCACAGCTAAGATGCTGAACAACACCAACAGCTCAACCTGGAGCTGGGCTGCCGTGAGTCACCAGCGACGGTGTAGGCTGCAGCCCCTGTGGCAGTGGGTTGCCATGGGCTGCCGTGTGTAGCCAGCGGCCAGCGTGAGCGGCCGTCCAGAGGCCGGCGACTGATCTGCCTCGCCCGGGAGAGTGCAATGGTGGTGCCAACTTGGGCCGGTGAGGCAACGTCCTCCACAACTAGACTGAAGAACAAAAAGACAGCAACTTGTCTGTTACCCTTCCCCCAATTCCCCAGCACTGTTCCCATCCCTGCAATTCCCCAATTAAAAAAAAAAAAAAAAAGCATAAAAGACCTGTTGATACTGATAAGAAAGGCAGTAGAATATTAGGGGGTCAAAGGAATTTGCAGAAATATCGAGTATGATCCCATCAATTAAAAAAAAACAAAAAATCTACTAAAAAAAATCAGAAAATACTGAGGTAACAAGATGAAAATATAATCCATCCCATACTCTACAGAGACAACCATTACTAAATAACAATTTAGTATATTTTCCATGCATGCACACATTTTTAGTTAAAAAAAAAAAGGGAACAAACAGAAGATTCTGGTTGGTAACCAGCTTTCTCTCAATATATTTTGAACATTTTCACATGGCAATATAAATACAATAGATCACTGTTATAATTTTTAATAGCTGTATAATATTTCACTAAATGGATACATCATTATCTAAGGTCCTCTATTGATGGGCATTTATGTTGTCCTTACTTACTATGAAAGAAGAACTGCTACTTGGAATGGAAATACAAGCATAACTAAATCTCTGTCTCTCTTTCTCTCTCTCTCTCTGATAACTATGGCTATATATATAGTTATCTCTAAGGGGTGGGACTAAAGAGTTTCATTTATAAGGTTCAAAGAGTGCGCACATCTATTATCTTTTATAGTCAGCAAACAAATTTGCTTTGAGGGCCGGCTGAGTCACGTGTTAGTTAAGAGTTGGCTTGGAATGCCAGCTCTGAGCAACAGGGCCCCGGTTCGGATCCCACATGGGTCAGTGACGCTGCACCCTCTAGAGCTAAGATGGTGAACAACAGCTTGACCTGGAGTTGGGCTGCCGTGAGTCGCCAGCGATGGCGTAGGCTGAAGTGAAGCTGCAGTGGGCTGCCATAAGCTACCGTGAGTGGCCGGCAGCCAGCGTAAGCTGCCAAGAGCCGCTGTGAGCAGCTGTCCAGTGGCTGGTGACCAATCTGCCTCACCTGGGAAGAACGCAATGATAATACCAACATGGGCCAGTGAAGCGATGTCCTCCACAACTAGACTGAAGAACAAAAGGGCAGCAACTTGTCTGTTCCCCTTCCCCGATTCCCTAACGCTGTTCTCCTCCCCTAATTCCCAATAAAATCTAAAAACAAACAAACAAAAAACAAACTTGCTTTGAGAAACAGCATAGACAGGAAGAAAGGAAAAGGAAAAATAGAGAAAAAGGAAACTGAGCTCCGATTGAGGACTTGCAGTGCATTCATGCCTTGGCTGAGGGGACATCGTGCCCTGGATTAGGGGACATGTGCTCACCTGATGCCAAAGATGCAGTGGATGTAGTTCCAGATGGCCCTGCGGAGCATGGAGGTGTCCACTCCGCTGTGCATGGCGATGGTGTTATAGGTGAGGCTATAGGCTGCCTGGAACTTCTCATCCAGCAGCTGTCCACCCTCAGGGTATAACCGCTGTATCAGTGAGTAGCCATGGTCTTCCCAGGTATAATCCTGAGACACGTGGGAAGGGGTCAGTGAGTAGAATCTGTGGGGCCCAAGCCTGGCCAGGGACACCGTCCTTTGGAGCACACCTTGGCGCTCCGTAATGCCCCTCCACACCCCACAAATCTAACCCACTCCTTGGTCTGGGCCTGAGAAGCTGAGGGGGATGCACTTTGGTGATGACCTTCTCCCTGTAATCAGGCTCCCCTGAGCTTAGGGCGCAGATGGGTGCCTTCATGATCCTGGGTCTCCTTCCCTCATGGAGTCTTGAGGGACAGAATGTGCCCCAACTCTAACCACTCAAACCATCTACCCTGGTTGTTAGAAAATTCAGAGCGATGCCAAGACTAATGGGGAGAGCATACCTGGGCACGGAAGGTGGGGGGCGCCTGAGTCCCTCGCCGGGTGAAGTCCTCATATCCAAAAGTGGGGTCTTCTACAAAGCACAGCATGTCTGGATGTGGAGAAGGCTCCAGGATGTCAGCTGAGGATGTCAGAAAGAGGCCACAATGAGGCCAAGGCACAGAGCACAGAGGCCTCCACTCCTGATTAATCATCCATAGGGGGCCAGTGGAGAGGGCAGAGAAAGGCCCTCTATATGGTGAGTGGAACCGGAACCAGGACTCCAACTGGAGCCAGGGGAGGCAGTGAATCAGGCCCAAGGACCTGGGGATGAGGCCCCCAGTAATAATAGCAATCCTAACATTTGGAGTTCTTGATGGAGCTGCTTATTCTGGGCCTGGCTCTGTGCTACGAGCTCTGCTTCTATTGTACCATTTACCCTACACATCAATCTTTCATGTGGGAGGAGACCAAGGCCTTGAGGAAGGAAGTGACTTATCAGTGGTCACACTGCCAGAAAGGCTAACAGGTCAGATTCAAACCCAGGTCTGACCCCAAAATATAAGAGGTGCAGTGCAGGGAGGTGCCTACTCCTCAGCAGAGATGATGTAAGAAGGGGGCATCTGGAACCTGGGCACCTGTGATCCTGTACCTGAGGGGGTTACCAGCAGGCTCTCCGACTTCTCCAGCTCAAAGCGGCTCTCCATCTCCTCCTGGGACGCTCCCTCCTCCCGCAACAGGCTCTCCTGCAGCTGCCTCATGCGTTCCATCAAAGCCTCCACGTCTCGGGCTGCCTCAAAGCCCTGGAAGAGGGACCCAAGGACGATCATCTACTCCTCCTCCCTCGCCCCCCACTCCCGCAAACTCCATACATCTTTCCCACATGCCAGGCCTTCCTGAATGGGCAGCTCACAAGGCCTGTCCTTCCCCAAATAAAGCTTAAGAAGCTACAGAACAGACATGTCTTCTCTGAGCATCAAATTCCCTCACAGGTAAGGGATTTTTAAAGTACAGTAATACCTTGGTTTGTGAGCATAATTCGTTCCGGAAACAAACTACTCATATTGCAAGACATCGCTCGTTTTACTGTATCTATATTTTTCTATTAAAACAAACAAGACCACCTTATAAAATAAGAGGCAAACTTCATATTCTGAAAGTGCTAAAAAACAGGAGCCTTTATGCCCACAGGGCTGCATGCTGAGAGGCCAGTCCCGTGGTTATTTCATTTAATCCTTACAACCCACTATGAAGTAGGGGTCTTCACTCTCATTTCACAGATGAGGAAATGGAGCTTCCAAGTTCAGTAATTTCTCTAAGGCCTCTCAGTGTGAGACAGGGAAGCAGTGGCTTCTACCCAAGGATGAGAGACCACGCCAGCTTCCTCTCCCACCAAGACCCTGGCCAGTGACTTACCCCAGAGTTGTTCAATGAGTCCCTGCTGGGGGGGCTGCTCTGCTCACTAGGGGGTGAAGGTGCCTGGGGGGTAGGGCTGCCCTCCAGGTCCCCCTCAGGGAGGATGCCACAGCCAAACACGAAGGAGGCCAGCGAGTGACAGTGAGTGAGCAGGACCAGGGCCTGGATGAGCTCGGCCAGGGACCAGCTGTGCTCGCCCGTCTTCAGCAGGGCCTAGGGAGGAAACAAAACCAGAACCACTCAGTGCCTGCCTCTGGGCTGCCTGCCATGCCCCAGTCCGGCCCCTGCGCTCCCTCAGGGACCTGCCTCTCTGCCCACTGCACCTGGATGTGCTCCTTGGTGATAAGCCATGGCCGATGTGCCAGCAACTTGTTGATCTCATTGAGCTTGCGCAGCTTCTCAGGGGCACGGTGGAGGCCAAGCAGCCACTCAGGGTCACCGCCAGTCTGCAGAAACTCGGCCATGTGGGAGCCCACCAGGTAGGAACACTGGTGGCGGGCGGCGGCCTGCGGAGGTGGTAGGCAGAACCCAGGTTACTCTATTCTTTCTGTGCCCTGCTCAGAGTGGGTACCCCATGGAGGTTGACATCACAGGCCTCACTCTTGCTTGAGAGAAAGGAAATTTAGATTCTAACTCCAGCTCTGCCACTGGTTTGTTGTCCTACCCCCACATGTCTCAGTTTCCCAATCTGTAAAGCAGGCATTCAAGATGCCACTCTTCAAAATCTAAAATTCTATGGATGGTCAGATAAAGCCCGGGCTTTCCTCTGCTTCTCTTCCTCATCCATGGAATCAGTTCAGGAATCCCCAGCAAAGAGATCTGAGGACTGAACCCCCCATGTGGCCACCCCAACAAGAGTCCGGCTCAGATAGGCTCACCATGATGGCAATGTAGTGGCGCCAGGAGCTGGCCAGGGGTCCATCTGTGTGCAGCAGCAGGTAGTGCAGGCGCCAGAATCTGCTAAGGTAGTCAGGGTGCAGGCCCATTACCAGCGCCAGGTGGTCCACCCGCCCTGAGGACATCAGTGCCTCCAGCCCCAGGTGCTGCTCCAGGCTCTCAGCTCCCTCCTGAAGGACCTGCCAAGCAGAGGTGAGGAGAGGATGGGTTCCCCTCCTACCTTTCCCACCAAAGAAACCAACATATTCGCTGTAGTGGGATTATAATCATAAGAAACTCAAAACCACCACCATGTGCAACAACAGAATGGGGGAGAAAAAGATATTTTATTAAATGATTAGGCAAATACTTTAATTAGATGCCTTATATAATAGCCAGTACTTACATAACGCTATGTGCCAAGCACTGTTCAAGCACTTTATACTTATTTACTCATTTAATCCTCACAATTGTGACATTAGAATTCTATTTTCTCCATTTTTAGACAGGAAAACTCAGGCACACAGACTAAAGTAGTTTCTCCTGTCTTTATGGAACTTCTGTTCTAACAGTGCAAATCCCTACAGCCATGGGGGGTGGGTGCAAAATCCCTCACATTTCCTGAGTGCTTCCTCCACCCCAGGGCTGAGTTTGGAGCTTCCCCTGCATTAGCTCATGAATCTTCCCAAGTATCTTGCAAGGCGAATACTATCTTTCCCATTACCAGATGAGGCAATCAAGGCCCAGAGAGGGTTCATTCCTTGATCAGGGTGACAGATCTAGTCAATGACAGAGCCAGGATTCAAATGTAGATGAACTCCAAAGCCTATTTATTTTCAGTATTATAAAAGAGGAGTGGTCATTTGTAATGGAAAAGATAAAACACAAGAGCAATAACCTGAACTTAAAATTCCAGGGCTACAGACATGAATAATCAGGGGGTGGTTGCTTCTTTCCATTCACAAGGAGTGGAGGGACCTGGGGGGGAGTTGAATGGTTTGTTAACAACTTATTAACTACTTGGCCTACACATTCAAGGGAGCCAAGAGGACAAGGAAACAAACCTTTGTCTTGGTTTCTTGAAGGTCAAAGAAAAAGAAGGGATTTTTTGGGGGCATGTGCTTTTGAAGGCATCCCCAGCACCACACCAACCCCACATAGAAAGTCAGCTCCATGATAGCAAGGATTTTTGTTGGTCTTGTTCTAGTATATTCTCAGAGCCTAGCACAATTTCTGACACAATTAATCATTCAACAAATATCTGTTAAATAAATGAATGATCTGACTCAGTAGATAAAAGAGGTCTCTGTTGTATTAAGTGAAAAACAAAACAAAACATTGCCCTCCCCCCCAAAAAAACATGTTGTAAATTATGACAATGGTTCTGTATGAAAAAAAGTCCGGAAAACAGTGGCAAATGGTTAAGTGACGCTGATTATCTCTGTGGGGGATACAGTGAAACACAGGAAAACAATTTTTTTTAATAACAAACATACATTACTTTTGAAGTTGAAAAGAAACTTGAATATATGCAAAGTCAAGGATGAGAACCTAAACATAGATCGCTCTACCTTCTTAAGGAAAAGAAGGCCTTATTCTGGGAATCACAAGTTTGTTCATTACCTAGCTGTGTTATCATTACTTTATCTCTTGGAGCCTATTTCTTCCCAGCAAAATGGGGTTGATAGGCCTGCTTCACAGAGCTGTTTTGTAGAGTGAATGAGTCAGGAACCTGAAGGGGTAGTTTCAGAACGTCTACTTCAAAAGACAGGAAAAGACCCCCACCCACTCAACATCCATGTCCCTTCTTCTCAGAAAGTAATAACTCCTAACCCCTTCCCAAGCCTACCTCCTCCACTGGGATGAAGGCGCTGGGCCGGGGGCCTCGCCGAGCCCGGCTCTCCCTCTGCTCCTAGAAGGAAACACAGCTGTGGTAAGTTGGAGGTAAAAGGAGGACTAAAAGGGTCGTTCTCTCTCCAGTTTTCTCCTCCTATTCAAGGGCCCATGCTGAGCTTTTAAAACCCCCTTTCTGGTGCAACCTGCATGGAGGTGCCAAGTGGGAGATCCACACCTGTTCGGTAGGTAGAGAGAGGGTAAGCAAGAGAGAGGGCTCCCCTCACAGGCTGAGTTCTTCAGGAACTGGGCAGGGATCTGGGAGCCCCAGTATTGGGTAGGAGGGGCCCGAGAAAGGAAATATACAGCCACCATGTTGCACATCTCCACCTTCTTACAGCCCTGGAGAACCCATACAAGAGCTTCCCTCATTTACATCCTGAATCCAGGTTACAAGTACTCTAGACTCTTATGACGTAGTCTCTCTCAAATTGTCATTTCTTCATCCCTCTCACCACCACCACCTCATAGGTCTCTTGTCTGGATCCCACCCACAGCCTCACTTATGGTCTCCCTGCCCTCTCCTCTCCTATCCATCCTCTACCAAATTGAGAAAACAAATGAATACATAAAACAACCCCCCTGAGCTCCACCTCTAGGACAAGGAGCAGATTTAGTGAGTACAAGACCCCGCTGGTTTCTAAAAAGGGCAAATTTTCTGCAGCCAGAGTAAAATTTCTCAAGTGCAAACCTGATTATCTGCCTTAAAACCCTGCCTCCACCTCCCATGGCCTTTGAGATAAATTAGTGACCCTGCCACTGGTCACTCCTTTTGCAGACCTAACTCTTAATCTTCCAGGGCTTGGGAACCTTCTTTGGACCCTCATCTGTGACCCTACAATTCCCAGTGCTTTTGCTTCTGAAAACATTGTTTTCTGGTTGTCTGATTTAGGTCTCCCTCCTACCAGATCATTTTGTGGAGAGCAGAGCCACCTCATCCACACTAGCCTGTGAATGAAGAACACAGAGGAGGCAGAGGCGTCCAGGGAATCAGGGCAGGGCGCACAAAGCTGACAGTAACAGCTTTTCTGGTGAGCATGTATTGCAGCCTCTCTGGAAACCAGCAATTATGTACTCACTAAATCTGCTTCTAGTCATAGTGGTGAGGTTCAGGGAGGATGTTTTACCTATGCATTTGTTTTGATAACTGGGAGGAGGGCTCTCAGCACTGGCCTTGGAAAGAGTTTACCCAAACCAGAATTACACCTTCAACAGACATAGTGTCCCCCTAACTCTCCCCAACTCATTAAAATCCAGATTTAGTGCCAATAGACCCAGGTGGCCAAGGACAAAGATTATAACTGAACTTTTCTTCTCAGATGGCCAAAAGCCCCCTGAGGGAAGCAGAGCTTTGGGGCTTTAGAAGACAACAAAGGAAAGAACAACAGGACCTGGAAGTCCTGGGTGTGAATAACAACTTGCCACTAGCTTGCAGTGTGACTCTGAAAAAGTAACCTAGACTCTTTCTGGGCCTTAATCTTGGACCATAAAAAAGAGGTAGTTGGGCTGATTGCTCTGGCCCCTTTCAGCCCACACTTCTGGGAGTTATCAGGCCAGGCTGGTCCAAGTCCAGCATAGAAACCACCAAAAGCCCCAAGCACTCGGGTTTCAGCTTTCCTCCTCCCTCACCAAAGAGAAAAAGCCTAACAGCTCTGTGTAGGAGATAAGAATTGCTGACTCCACAAAGAGGGCCTCCCCCTCAGGGGACCTGAGGACAAAGAGAAAACCACAGCCAGGTGGGGTGGGGAAGGGCAGGGTAGAACTGGGGTTTGGGGGCAGGGAGGGCCCACAAGAGTGCTAGTGAGGGACAAGGAACAGTCTTGGGTGTCCCTTCTTACTCTAAAATCTGCCCCAAGAGCTGTCAAAGGAAGAAACTGATACCTGTGGGTCTTTAAGTGATAGGTCTGGATCTACCAACATTTTCAGCCCTAATAATGATGATGATGGTGATGATAGAGGACAGTTAAAAGATAGGGGCTCTTGACAACCACTGCCTAGGCTCAAATGACATCTCCACCACCATCTGCTACCTATGCGGGCCTCAGTTTCCTCACCAAATAATGGGGCTAATAGTACCTACTTTCACCGGGTAGTCATGAGGATGTAATGAGATAATGCCCTTACCTCAGTACCTCTATCATAGTATGCACTTAATACAAGTCAGCTATCATTAACCTCATTGTTATTTCAAATAATGGCTTCTCCACCCAAGCAGTGCTTTAGAATTCCTTTGAGAAGCTTTTTTAAAAAAATACCAATGCCAAGGTCCCACCTCCAGCAATTTAAATTTAATTGGGTGGGACCCAGCATAATTTACAATCAAGGTGGAGGGCCATTGTTTCTCCCCATTTATTGATCACTTTCTCAAGTATAAAGCACTATGCTAAGTGCTTTCCAGGTGGAACCAAAATTAATCTGTTCATTCGACAAATATTTTATGACTACATTGCAGGCAGCAAGAGCACAGGATTGAAAAGACAAAGTCCCATCCTTCACAGGATTTATAATCTAATGGAGAAAGACAAACAAATAAATGATGAATAGGATTTCAAATTGTAGATCAAATAAAGTAAATGAAATAGAGCAATGAGACAGTGTATGATGTGTGGGGGTACGTGCAATATTTCAGTCTGAGTAGACAGGGAAAGCCACTCAGGAGATAACCTTTGAGTTGATATCTACATATCAAATAGCTAAATGAGTTGATGAGCAGGCAGCAAGATCTGTAAAGATCTAGGGGACCAGCCTTCCAGGCAGAGGGAACAGAAAGTGCAAAGCTCTGAAGGCAAGACCAAGTACAATCTAATCCAGAGCTCCAATACCCTGAATAGTTCCCTGACCTTGACACCCAGAACTTCAGGGGAAGCAGACAGGGCAGGGTCTCACACCGAGATGATGCCTCCAAATCAACCCTCCCCTTTTCCCTGGGGTAAGCAGTCAACAATAACAATGGTAGGTAATAACTGGGAATTAGGAGTGGCTTGGCATTTATTTCAATGCACTTTAAGGCAGGAACTACCACTCCAAGAGGTCCTATTTTACAAATGAGCAATAAGGCTCAGAGACATCAAGTCAATTCTGGTCACTCAGCCAGGAAGGAGGTCACAGAGTTGGGATACAACCCAGGTTTCTGCACCTGCAGAAACTAGTCCCATTCTCTAAATTTCTCTATGTCTTAATAGTCCAAAGCTGTGCATCTGGGGTTCACCAGGACTGAGAAGCTCCTCCTCCCTGCCTACATCCCTGGAAATGTACCTGCCCCCCCATCACAGCACCTGTCACACTGTGTTGTTTCTTAGGTTGAGGGCGCACACTGGATCTAGTTCCCCATGGTTACTCCAGTGTCCAGCATAGCGCAGTCCAATAGAGCTTTCTGCAATGATGGGAGGTTCTATATCTGCATGTCCAATAAAGATGGTTTTGATATCAGTAAGGATATCAGTCCCAGTGGCTGAGCATTTGAAATGGGACTACTGCAACTAAAAAACTGAATTTTTAATTTTTTTAAAGACATATTGGGGAATTGGGGGAGGGGAACAGACAAGTTGCTGTCCTTTTGCTCTTCAGTCTAGTTGTGGAGGACATCGCTTCACTGGCCCATGTTGGTATTATCATTGTGCTCTTCCTGAGTGAGGCAGATCGGTCACAGGCCACTGGACTGCCCAATCACCGTGGCTCTTGGCAGCTCACGACGGCTGCTGGCCGCTCATGGTAGCTTATGGGAGCCTATGCCAGTCGCCGGTGACTCACTGCAGCCCAGATCCAGGTGGAGCTGTTGTTCATCATCTTAGCTGTAGAGGGCACAGCGTCACTGGCCCTCATGTGGGATCCGAACCGGGGCCCTGCTGCTCAGAGCTGGCATCCCAAGCCAACTCAACCAACGCACCACTCAGCTGGCCCTGAATTTTTTTTTTAAATTATCAAAATTTTAATAGCCACATGTGGCTAAGGGCTACCATAATGGACAGTGCAGGTTCAGCACACCTGATAAAGGCAAGATTCCCACCCCCATTTTACAGATGAAGAAAGGGAAACCAGAGGGGACAGGTGACCTACCCAAGGTAACATAGTTAGTATGGGCAGAGGGAAAACCAGTGGTTGCTGTTCCTATAGTTCCAATTGAGGGCATCACACAGGGGAGCAGGAACACTAAAGTCAGATAGCCCTCTTGATGGTGGCCACTCAACAAGGAGGGCTTTCAGGCAAGTCGTAAAAAGATAATCACCTCAGAGCTCAGTGCCTGGCTCCTCATTTAAGGGCTTACTAAACGTTAATTTTTAATATTAGCTCAGGGATTTGTACACAAGTTCACCTAATCTTCATCAGTTTTGGGGTGGGGGGGGGTCCTCTTTTTTGTACTTACGGAAAGATTAAGGTTCCAAAGGTTAAGTACCAGCTGATAAGTGGCCAACATGAGATTTGCACTCAGCTCAGTCTGGCTTCCAAGGGTTCTGTGTCCACTACCCACATCAGCCTCTTCGAGAAGCCCCAGCCTCTATTCTTGGTATCCTAGACAGAGCCTGCAGCCCCCAGGACTCAGCTGCAGACACCTGCAAAATCACTCTGCCAGCTGGGATGGGGCAGCGATTCCCTGACCCCCACCCCCGTGGACAGCTGTGGTCTGCTGAACTCAAATACTTGCCAGGGTTTACACCTGAGAGGGAGATAGCCCAAGCAGCCTCTGACCAGCCTTGTGGGGAGGGGTCTGTGTGAGTGCTGCCACAAACTCATATGCCCACCATGGGCTGGGCACTAGGCTAAGTGCTTTATACATCTGATCTGGCCGGTTTCTCACAACCACCTGGAGGGGAAGAGGTCTTATTATCCCTTCTTCAGAGACAACTCATTGAAGCTCTTTCCCAGTCCTATTCCAGACAGGCACAACTCAGATCCGACTTCAAAGCCTGCACAATTCACAAGGGTCAGCTAAGCCAAAAGGGGCAAATAGTTACAAGCACTTACAAGGTGCTAAGAACAGTGCTGGACATGAGACCTACAGAGTGTTTCTAGTCCAGCAAGGGAGACAGACAAGAAATGACTGATTATACAACTGTTACACTATAATCAGGATAAAAGTTCCTACAAGGGAAAAGGGGGACTGGAAGAGGGTATGCAGAGGGGACTTATCTGGTGGGAGAGGAAAGGCTTCCCTGAGGAAGTGATGTTTGAGGAAGCGATTCTAGAGACTAACTGGGCTCTGAAAACACACCAACAATACTAGAACAAAGCGTCTGAAGGCCCTGACCCATTGAAAGGGAGTGTGGTGAAGTGGTGGGAGTTGAGGGGACTGTAGATGTGGGTCTTCCCTTGGGCCTTGGGCTATCAGGCTTTGTAAGTTCAGCACCCTGCAGTCTTCTAAAGATTCCACTTAAAGCAGACATCTTCCCAAGGTCCTCTTTTCTTGAGAGACTAAGTAGAAAGGGTTCCTACATCACCAGTTTTCCCCCTTGCAGACATGTGGCTTCCACCTGAAGGCCACTCCCTCAGAGCCTGCCCTGACCACTTCCCAGGCACTGTCCCAGAGAGGGATGGACCAACTCTCACCTCAGGCAGGAGGGACAGGCTCAGGCATACCCCTGTGAGACACTCTGGGGAAAAGAGAAATGCGTGATAGCCACATTCTAACAATAGCTAGCATGTTTGACACAGTTACTAGTTCCTCGCACTGTGCTTTGCCCTTTGCTTGTATTCTCAGTCAATTCTCCCAACAATCCCTCAGAGATACTATCAAATCTCCATGGGAAGAGGTTGTGGATAAGAGAAGGGATCACTTAGCCAAGGTCACACAGCGAGTGAGTAGGAGGGCTAGTACATGAACCCGGAGCTCTTCGGGCTATAGTGCCCAGGTGCCCTTAATAAATAATATTACAGCAGGTCCTCAAATAACATCATTTCATTCAGCGTTGTTTGTTTATATCAATTGGCCTATGGTAAGATTGGTTTCCTTATTCATCATTTCCCTTAAAGTCACAGACTCTATCGACTAAGTGAAGTGACAACTGACTGCATTTCCATTTTTTCACAAAGGAGGAAATTGACTCAGAGAGTAGAGTGACTTGGTCAAAGTCACCCAGCTGATGGTGAACACATAATGCAATATATAGATGATGTATTATAGAATTTTACACTTGAAACCTATGTAGTGTTGTTGACCATTGTCACCCCAATAAGTTGTAATTAAAAAAAGAAAAAAAGTCACCCAGCTGAAAAGTGGCAGGAGCAAACAGGTTTTATTCTTCCACGTGGGGCTCCTAAACCATAGTGGGAAAGGGTTAACAAGCTAACAGAAAACTCAGGACACAAACTATCCACGGCAGGAGGTAGGACCCCCACCTCCCAGAAACCATGCTGCTCAGAGAAGCGGAGGGATTTTCCCAGGGTCAGAGTTTAGGAGTAGCACTTGTCTGACTCTCAACCTCAGTAATACACTTGCACTGCTCTCCAGGCCTGGAAACTAAAGAAACAAGCGAAACTCCCTGTACTGCCAAGCACATTCGGAAATCCTGGTGACACCCAGGCCAAAGAATGAGCTACTCTGTGGGGTTAATGAAGGAAGCTTCTCCATAGCCCCTCTTGGACCTCAATGTTCTCATCCTATAAAATGGAGCAATCCTATAGCTCAAATTTTGCTAGTTTAGTCCCGAGGGCTCAGAGAAAAAGCAAAACCCAAGCCTGGCATCTAGTAGGTGCTTGGTGAATGTTAAGATGTCCATTATTGAGGGTGGTGGTGATGGGGGAGGGGAATTGTTAAATTTGGCCCAGCCTTATTCCTATCCTCACTGCAAAGGAGAGTCCCTGCGAAACTTCTGAGACGTCAGGCTACTTGGTAGGGCACAGCCTAACGGCGCTTGGTTCGGAAGCTGCGGGCAGGGTTTTCTCCCTTTCCCCCTAGCTTTGGCCGCCGCCAAGTACCCGGCAGCCAGCCAAGGCCCAGGAGCGCCTGCGCCCCCCTTCCAAATCGGGGGTGTAGGTCGGGGCGGGGGACGAGGTCGACCTTTGCTGGCTAGTCTCAGGTGCCCCATTCTCCGCCCTGGGCATTAGAGCAGGGTCATATCCTACCTAGAGTCTTCGGCCCGCCAGCCCCAGCCCCAGGGAAGGGGGCGGGGAGGAGGAGTGGTCGGGTCCCTGCGGCCGGGATTTGCCTGGACTTGACGACTCTCTCTACGAGAGCCCAAACCCAAGGAAGCCTCGAGAAGGCTCTCTCTTCTCCTTTGCTAGGAGTCCGAGGAAGCTCCGGAGGGCTCCACAGCCCCGGGGAAAGGGGGAGGGGGCGGAGAGGGCCGTGGCTGCCAGTTGATGCAACCCCACTACTGGGTTACGTGCTCCACTCCCTCTTCCCGAGTCCGGGGGGCGCACCGACTCAGCTTAGGCCAGCCAGAAGCTCGGACGCGGTTCGGGGTTCAAGGTAAAAGTGGCGTCGCTCGGCTGCTGCTTACCTCTGCGGCCCCGGGGCCGCTGCCGCCACCGCCGCCGCCGCCGCTCCGGGCGAACGGCAGGTAGCTCTTCAGCTCCGCTCGGCACTCGGAGTCCGCAACGATCATGGTGTGCGCCAGGACCCAGTCGCGGCTCGCCAACGATCCGTGCACCGGAGGGGGTTGTGGACAGACGCACGCAGGAAGCCGGGACTGGGGGCCGCTGGCGAGGTTCTAGAGCCCAGGGGTGTCTCTCGGGGTTCCACAACGCTCAAAAAGCCCAGAATCCAGGAACAGCCGCTGCCTCGCTGGAATCTCCTCTTGTCCGAATTCGAGAGCGGTGAATGGCCTCGGGAGCCTGGGATTGCCCGCGGTGCACGGGTTTTCACGGCCCGGAGTGTCTCGGAAGTCCGCAGTGGCTGGGGCTGCTCGCAGACCCCTCGCTCCTCAGCATCCCCGCCGCGGAACTGGCAACGCTCGCCGGGCTCTGACACCAGCAGCGCGGCTTAGCCGGCTGCGGTCCCCGGGGGAGGGCGGGGACACAAAAGCCCCGCGCCGCAGCCAGTCAGATGCTTGTTTCCTGGGAAGGCGTGGCGACACCGCCCTCAGGAGCCAACTGCTCAGCCAATCGGCACCTGGAAGCGTCCGGGAACTCTGGGAGTTGTAGTCAGCCGCGGACGAATGCTGCAAACTTTTGCAAAAGGGTTTAGTCAGATTGTTGGCAATACCAGACGAGAGTGACAACCCGGAGAGTCATTAGAGCTACGTGATGAAACGGGACTTCACCGGGCTGGGCCCGAGAGCCCAGTGTGAAATCCCTCCCAAGTACGTTCTTCAGCTTTTTCAGTTCCTGGAGGGACTAGTTAGGGTTAGGAGAGGTGGTGTTAATTACAGAGCTGAACGCCAGATCCCGACACAGCCCTGTTCCCCTGGCCTCCGGGAGGGCTCTGCCTAAAAATGTATCTGACACAGGGAATTCACTTTATTTAGGGAGTCTCTGGAAATGCTTTCATTCATTGAAATACCCTTGGCAACCTAAAGTCTAATCTCAACCCACTTCTGCTCCCTTGAGGCCTCCAGTCCTGTGTTCCATCCCTGCCACCCCTTTCTAGAAATTTGTGACAATGCTGTCCACTGGGTCTTTTCTCACCTCTCTGCCCACTCCCTCTCCGACTCCTCTTTCTCTTCCCATCCCCTGGAAAGTGGGTGTTCCTTTAGTTTCTGTTTTCATCCCCCATCTCTCCAGAGATACTCTTCCCTCTCTGATCTCACCCATTTCTTGGCCTTCAACTCTGTTCTGAGTCGCTTCCACCAGCCCATCAGCAACTGGAAGCTGAATTCATCTCCTGTCCCCTTCCCACAGGTCCTCTTCCTTCAGTTTTTCTTTAGAGCTCCAGTTTTTTTTGTTTCAATTTTAAAGTCATTGTTAACTCTGGATAGAGAGTCCTCGCTGGAGGGAAGATGGACTGGATGACCTCCAAGGTCCCCTCTGAGACTTTCTGAGTCTAGGTTTATGATTCCAAAGATGACCCTCTGACTTTGTCTCCTGCTTCCAACTTCTTGGGAGAAGGAAATTAATCTCACCCTCTGCTGAGTTCCTGAGGCACTTGAGCCAGGTCTCTTTTATATATAACACTTATCACATTCTACCTGGTATTATAACCTTCTGTGTACAAGTCTTATCTGACCCATTTGATTGTAAGCTTCATGAGGGCAGGGTCCACATGTTGACCTCTTTGTGTTCTGCCCTATGCCACCTAGCAGTGTTCTGCCAATAATATGTCCTTGCTGGCTGAATCTTCCTTTGAATTGAATTCCCCTCTAAGTCACCCTATGTCCGATTCAGCTTTCATTTTAAAAATCTACTCTAATGTCAATGTTTCGATCAAAAAGCTTTATTGGTATTTCATGAGCTACAGAATAAAGGTCAAACCCCTAGATTGACAGTCAATATCTGCCAAGATCTGCCTCAATTTACCTTTCCAGTCTTAAGCACTTGCCACATCCATGTTTCTTGTTTGGCCTTTAAGCCTTTCTTCCCTTAGTTCTACCTGCAAATTTCTGCCCACTGAAATCCTACCCAGCATTCAGTGCCTTTAGTCATGTTTGTGGCCTGAATGAAGCCTTCAAACTGCCACTTCCTACAGAGAGTGTTGCTTCTTCAACTCAGCTGAAACTCCTCGACTCCTCAACACATTGTTTCTGCCTCTACCACTGGTCTTCAAACTTGATGCAGCCTTATTATCATGTCTACCTACACAGCTTACCACTTCCCTCTAACAATGGAATATATGTTATTGACCACTTTTGTAAAGGGAGGAGACTTGAGCTTACATAGAAAGGTAAAACTTCATGTCAGGGTCATATAAGAGCTTCTTTTGACTGTACCAGGCTGTGTCAGAGCTCCTTTAAAGCAGGAACTGTATCTAATTGTCTCTGTATATCCCCCACTAGCATGTAGTGAATCCTCAATAAATATTTTTGAAGTGTATGAATATGAATTACTCTCCTCTGTAGAATCGTCAAGGAAGTGACTAAATCATTCCCAAGACTTCACTTACAAAGTTGGTGATTTTGTGAAAAGGCAAAGCCGGAAAAACTGATATTCTAAATTGGATCTTTGTGACCCAGTCTCCAAGAAACGAAAGCTTGAAAGAGGCACAGATGTTACCGTTTGCTGAACTGTCTAACAACAGTCCAGAATACATCTGATATCTCATGTAACTCATCACAACCTTGTGAGGTGGCATTACGCCCCCATTTGACTGATGAGGTAACTGAGGCTCAAAAGGTGTGTTGGCCATGGTCAGACAGCTTAGTAATATGTTGAGTAAGGATTCAAGCCCAGGCAGGAATGACTCCAAAGCAGAAACTCCACTGCACCACTGATGAGAGAAGGACCTGAATATGTAAGAAGCAGGCTGGCACAAGGAATTCCAATATGTTAATTGGGAGTGAAAAACTTAATTTTCAAGTGGTCTATAATGAATGGGCCAGCACATTCCTCTTTATAGGAAGGCCTCCATAACAAACAAAGTTATCATCTGAAGGTGGTTAGCTGAATCTGAGCAAAAGGAATCAGTGAAAAGATGAATCATTGAACAGGCTCTATGCAGAGCAAACCAGCTGCTCAATGCTCCAGCACCTTCCCTTTCTTTCATTCAGTAAATATTTATTGACCATCTGTTATGTATCAGGCACAGTGCTGGGCTCTGGAAATCCAGCCACTAAAGCCTCCAACCACGAGGAACATGGCCCAGTTACACTGCTGGACTCCCCTCCCCTACGCCTAGTATTTTTGGCTCAGTAAAGATCTCCACCTTCTGTTGCCATACTCTCTCGACCCTTGCATCAGCTATGCTGAGGCTACTGATTGGCCAAAGCTTTTATTATTCCTCAATCACATTCCAGTCTTGACAAAAGGTCTAGATTGGATTTGAAATGTTTTTGGTTTCCTCAGCTTCAGACCCTCTCTCAGATTTTAACCCTAAAGGAATTTATTCTTTCTGCATTGATATTCTAATTCCAAATTGTGGGATCAGTTTGCTATAATGACCTTGCCTCCCACACCTGGGAGGTGGGGCTGTGGTTTATTACCCAGATGTAATTTTCTGAGCTCTTCTTATTGTTCTTACCATACTCCCCCCTCCCATCTCAGAATACAATTCCTGCCTTGAGGGAGCTTTCAAGAAAGAAGCCAACTCCAACAGGTTTAATAAAGCCACTCGCCCTCTGTGGCTCATTCACACATTCATCCATTCAATCACTCATTAAGCAGGCCTTGTGCTACGTGCTGAAGGAGGTCCTTCCGAGCTGACAGGTGCTGAGCTGGGAAGCTACACAATTAAAATGGAAATTGTCCCCTGGAGTTGTGCATCAGGGGGTAGAACAACCACAGACTCTCAGAAACGGAGCCAACTATCTCTTAAGAGCATTGCCCAGGAGTCCTACTTTTAAGCTACGTGACCCAAAGAATTTTTTTTTCAGTTCTTAGAATCGGCTTCCTCATCTGTAAAACAAAGGAATTGGAAATTAGCTCTAATCCCCCAGAGCCTCTGTGGAGAGGACTGGTATTGGGCAATGCATATAATTCGGTTTCATTGATTTTATACTTAGGACAGAAAACAGGTTTCAAAAAGCTCAATCCTCTTTAATAAAAATAAATAACATACAAAAACTGACCAGTTGGGTGCTTTTGGATAATTCACTAAGCATTCCAGTTACGTTATGTCGGCTGAGTGAGCCCTCAGCGCCCCCTGCAGGCAGGGCCCTGCTATAAGCCCAGAAAAGACTGGAAAAAGGATGGATTGAGGGCCGCCCCCAAACGTTTTGAGTTGGCAAAACGTTACAGAATTGGCAGGTCCCAATTATGTCACTGCCTGAAGGTCCTTAAAAGAGGCTAGGCAACAGCTAAGTAAAGATCATGTGCTTGCTGAAGATTTCCCTGCTGCCAACAGGGACTAGACTCCCCAAAGACCTCCCAGCCTGAAAATGCACTTCCCATTGTTTTGTCTTGCTCCAGCATCTTACTGGCAGGAAGCCTGAGTTCCAGAGAATAAGCCATTTGCGCAAGCTCCCCAGAAAGTTGGTCACAGAGTGGAGACTAGAACCTTGGGGTCCAAGCCCCCAGTCTAGGGCCACTTGCACCAAAAGAGGTTGCCCCAGTAGCGCCATATTTCCAGAAAGAATAATTCTCTTTATTCCGGGTATCTTCCTCTATGTCCCCCTCTCCTCCACTCTTACAGGCCCTATATCCCATTCTCAGTCAAATACCCTAGGCTGTTTCTGGAGCAACGCCTCTGTCCTTTGTCACCATCCTGGCCCACCTCTTCCTGCTCTTAAGACTTCCGTATCCCTACACGTCCCCACCCTCATTCCCCTCCCCCCCAAAAAAACTGTACTTGTAATAGTATATCGGAGTCGAAGGTTTCAGTTCTAACCTTTTCGAACTGTGTGTACCTGTGCAAGTCACTTCACCTCTCTGAACCTGTTTCCTGCTATGTAAAATGGGGAGATCAAGTTTACCTCCACTGGGGCTGTTGTGAGGATAAGAGCTAATGTATGCAAGTCCCTTAACAAGGCTTGATACAGATTAAGTGCTCAATAACCTGTAATTATTATGTTGTTATTGTTATTTTAAAACATCTAAACTCAGTGACAGATACTGGGTATTCAAGAAAGGTGGTTATAACCTTTAATATTTAAAAGTTTGAAGCACGGAGCCTGGCATTCAGCAGGAACTGAATACGTCAGCTGTGGTTAGCATTCTTGCTTTTTTGACCAAAGGGCTCCCAGCACCTTTGCAGACCAAACGCCTCTTGCGAGCGAAATCTGCACCACTTCGTCCTGCTCAGCAACAGGCTCCCCTTACGTAAACCGCGGCGGCCAATGAGCAGGCAGATGGGCGGGGTTATCTAGCAGTCAATTGCAGCCCCCAGCGGCGCGCAAGACTAGCCCAGGCCGGTTTCCAGGGTGGTTGGAAAAGCTAACCCCCGAGGCTATTTTCGGGGCGGGTAGTGTCACCAAA